TAAAACAAATTTAATTTATTCCTGGCATGGAATCTCTCATTTAAAAAAATGAAGACCCAAAAAGCAGTTAGGGCTAATTATTTATATAACAAAGTGAACGTACAATAATAAACTGAAAATGTAACGAAAGTGGGTGAGGAAGCTTAAAAAGTAAGAGCTACTTAAAGAGGCCTGCACAATCCTCTTTTGCTTCCAAACACTTGTCCTTGAAGATAAGGACATTACTTTCCTTTCAGTGCACAGACAGTGTCCTTCACATGGAAATATTATCTTCAGCTCTTAAGCAACAGCATGAAGGTCAAAGCAGCCTTGTACCTGCTGTTTTTCAGTTTAAAGAGTGCCAGAATAATATATTTTAACCCTTCAGGGTTATAGACATAGGAAGGCAACAAAAATGCAGTGATCTTAAATAAAAGCTGTAAGAGAGTATTCACAGGTTGGATTTTTTTTTTTTTTAAGAGACGTTGCCCCTGGTGAATGCTGATCTAATATCCTCTTCTCTCCCTGACCTGTCTACTCTTGGTGTGACCCATTGACCAGACCGAAGCATGGACCAAAAGGCCAAGGGGCTTGTGGTTATATCCTTGTAGCTCAGCATCCTAGCACTCAGAGCAAAAGTGGAAGGTAGGGAATCCAACAGGAGAAGTGCAAGGAAACTGTCTCTCACTGATATATACAGCTGAGTAGGGAGAGCAGTAGTCTGCCTTCTCATCCCTGGTGGTCAGTGTGTGCTTTGGAGTTGACTGCCACTTCTGGTGATTTGGAATGGATCATCTTCCTAATGTTTGTAGGTAAATCCTTATCATCAATATTTTTGTAATTGGGCTTTAGATGTGTTAGCTATCATCTCAGCATTTTTACTACTTTTCAGGGTTAGTATAAAAGTTATCCCTCTGTATTTACCACTCCCCTTCTCATAAGTATCTCCCAGTTTATGCAACATTAAAATCATGGAAATTAAATCTATCTTATAAGGTGTTGGAGAACTAAGTGATACGAGTGTGATCAAGTGTCTAATAAATATACAATGAAGTGTTGTCATCCTGTCCACTATAATCTATAAGAGAAGGTTTCATTCAGCAAATAACTTCAATGAACCATTCATGAATTGCGTATTTGGAAGTATCACCTAGCTAAGAGAATAAGCTTAATGTTCTGTGTTACTTAGTTTGCTTGGGTAAGAAAGAGGGTAAATCTCTAAAATGAGGACAGACTGGAAAAAGCATTTCTACAGGTGTTAAAACATAATGTTTGAAAAGAACATAGGGAAAAGAAGCTATTGCTCATAGGAATGACTCAAAACCCAAGTTTTCCAAAGATCTTTGAACTAATTTTGGAACATTTATTCATTGTATAGGTATTAATAAAAGAAGTAAATTATAAAGTAAAAGGCTCTATGCATTTTTCTCACTTTAGGTTGCTATATGGATACCAATAATACTAACTGCACTTTTTTTTGCTACCTACTTGTAAAGGAAAATTGATTATCCATTGACTTTAATGTTGTATTTCTTAAAATTTTACAGAAATAAATACTTTTCTTTTTAAATGTAGTAGAATAAAAGAGCAATTTTAGCTACTTATACTTTTTATTTTATAATCAAAAGAGAAAAATAAAACTTTTAACAATTTTGAGCCATTTTATTTTTATGCATTTCATTGCTTTATACCAGAGTTGTATGTGGACTTACATCCCTTATGAATGAGTTACCAGCCACACCAGAAATTGGATGAGGAAATATAGATGGATTAGTATTTCCAGTAGAAGTTTTCAAAATACAGCTTTAAAAATGTATAAGAATGGAATCGATTACCTTTGCCAAAAATGTCAACATTTTAGTTGGCTAAAATGAACTGCCATCTTACATGATCTTCCAGTCCTTTTCAATAAAAAACATAAAATATGTACACTCCCCCAAATATGTGTGCATAGATACACACATACAAAGGTGCATGTAGACTTGTAGACAGGCACATTCACGTTTTACATCTGCGCCTCATGTGAGGAGAGATTATTCTACTTCCAAGTTTATTTTGCATTGTAACTTGCCTTTTTAATGTATCTTCTAAACTGATTTAACCCTTCAGAAAAGCTGCACAGTCTGCCTTCTCCTGAATAGTAGTCATTTCTACAATCCCTCCACCCTTCTTTTCACAGGCTTATCTGTACTATCTCTTCTCTCACATTCCTCCCTCAAATAATTATGGTTGCAGTTTGATCCCTACAGATTTTTCATCCATAGACTTTATTCTCATCATGCTAGATGATTTTTCTCTGGACATATTAAAACTCAAAGCCCAACTGTGCTCTTGTTTTTATCCTTTGAAGAATTCCCAACACTAAAGTGACTGTTGCTTTTAAATACTTAACTTTATCAATGCTTCACCAAAGAAGCCTGGCTTTAGGTCATTTCTTTTATTTTAATTTTGAACTCCTAGTCACACCTGTATCCTATTGTTCTTGTTGAATATGTTCTTCTCTCATTTTAAAATTTCTCACAGGCACTCTTCACTCTAAGATGTGCTAAGGAGAGCATCTTAAATGCAGCAGAAGCTCAATGATAGTTATTGGTGTAAATTGATATTCTAGCACCTTAGGAAGGATTGCTCAATAGAGTTTCTCTTAAATTTTTCAGAGGCAGTATTTCCAGTTATTGGATATATATATATATATATTTCTCTCATTTTAAAATTTCTCACAGGCACTCTTCACTCTAAGATGTGCTAAGGAGAGCATCTTAAATGCAGCAGAAGCTCAATGATAGTTATTGGTGTAAATTGATATTCTAGCACCTTAGGAAGGATTGCTCAATAGAGTTTCTCTTAAATTTTTCAGAGGCAGTATTTCCAGTTATTGGATATATATATATATATATATATATATAAACTAAATTGTATCAAAAACTCTGACTGCCTTTGAAATACCTTTCCAGAACACTAAGATTCGAATGAGCAAGGTTTGAACTGAAGTATAGATCAATATCATTATCATCTAGTGCTTTCAAAAGCCATCCAGGATTCCTGACAAAATGGTGCATTAGGTTTGTCATTTGACAAAAACTCTCTTTGCTTCAGACATGCAACTGTGCTAGATAGATGAGCTAGCACATTAAATGGTGCAGGGACAGCGTAAACATCAAGAGTGGCACAGACTCTAATAGAAATAGAATCAGATAATAAAGATCAGCCCAAGTTTCCATGCCTTGGAAGCAGCTGTCATTCTGAAAAGACTAGAGCAGGAAGAACTCAAGAATTCTGCTTCAGGACTGAGAACTGAGCATTCCAGCAGATGCAGCAGATACCATTTAATTGATTGAGAAGCACAACCAAGAAGGCAGAGGACTTCGCAAAACTGGGTTGCCAGTAAAGTTTTCAGTGCTCCTGTTGAGCATCCATAGAGATCTTTCTGAAACAGTTAAATCTTATGGGTATGGTATGTCTGATCTGTTAATAAGCTTGTCCTAAAAGTCAGGTCAAATTTGAGCCAGGGATTTAACTCAGTGGTGCTGCCGCCTGCCTCGCAAATGTTAAGGACCCAAATTAGATCCCCATTTCTAAAAAAAAAAAAGTCAGGTCAAACTCTTGTTAAGATCCAAGCAATATAGAGGCACACAGTTGTAGTACATAGAGTTCCAGTGAGGTACATCGTCACTCAGATCTAGCAGGTACCCACTGACCGCCTGTGACTTACACCCATGTAGAGGCTGAATATCCACACAAGTTTCACTCTTCACAATTCAGTTGCACTTACTGTTGGGGACATTAGGGAAGCAATAGAGCCCAATGACTCTACCTTGAAGTGAAAGTCAACTCCTTTTCCAAAATTGGTTCAGATTCTATGGTGTATTCACTGCACTTTATTACGTGGACTATACATCATAATGCTTGGGTTATTCTGCTTGGACTACCGTGAGAGAATAAATCAGACTTGGTTTAAACCACAGGAACTTGTTTCCTCACAGTGGTCCAGGACAGACACCCTGGCAGGTCAATGTGTCCCTAGGCCTGTCCCCTTGGCTTGTCACTGGCCTCCTGCTTACCCTGTGTTCTCGCATGGCCTTTCCTCTGGGCACACGTGTCCCCGGTGTCTTCCACTCTTCTCGGAAAGGCATAGTAACATTAGACTGGTGCCTTACCCTGCCAGCTTCACTTAACTGTAATTGCCCTCTTAGAGATCCTACATCCAAAACAGTTGCATTTGGGCTTAGGATTTCAAAGTCAATTTCCTTTGGTGGAGCACAGTTCAGTTCATAAGAAAGTATGTCTGTGTATTGAAGAAATGATTCCCCTGACTGTTTTTTTTTTAAATTTTACACATTTGCAATCCATAATGATTATATTCACTGTAGGGCATAGGTACATATATATGACACATCTTAATTATTTTTCCCTTCCCCTCTGCACCCATTCTAAAGGTTTTTTGCAAACGTCAGATTTATTTATTTCATCAGTCCTTTTAGAGTTAATTATGCAGATTAACAAACAGATTAACAGTCCAAAAAACATATAAGATAATTATATTAAATCAAGATACACTTTCAGGTACATTGTCCCTGCTGGATTGCAATAATTCTTACTTTCTGCTTTTTTCCCTGTTGTCTGCCTTTTATTTTGCACTTTATTACCTATTGGGTTTGTCATATGAGAAAAACCATGCAATATTTAAGTTTGTGTGTCTGATTTACTCCATGTAACATTATGCTCTCAAGGTGCATGCATCTTTGTACAAAAGACTCAAGTTTATTAGTGAGTGTTTCTGCAGAAATTTTCCAGTTAAGTAAAATTGTCTTTATGAAATATCTGCATACAGGGCTATGAAAAGTGAACAATCGTGCAAAAAAATGTCTTATTTAATTATGAGAAACTCATTGGGCAAAAGGAGACTACAGAAATTTTGCTGTATACACTGCCGGGATGCCTGACTGTAATGCTATAGAGCCACACAATTGCAGCACATGGAGTTCCATGTTTCCAACCACCATCATTGTTCTCCTTTTCAGCCAATAAGAGCTGCTCGAATGGGGCGCTGGTGTGCCCCTCCTCTGCCAGCTGCATCCCTGCTCACCAGCGCTGTGATGGTTTTGCCAACTGCATGGATTTCCATGTTGATGAATCCAGCTGCTCAGGTACTTCGGTTCCTTGCCAGTATTCTTTGCAGCGTGCACCAGTGAGTTAACCTGCAGATAATCAAAATAGTATAAGTTGACTTTCTACATTGGGTAAGAAAGGGATCATTGAATTTCTACTATTACCCTGGGGGGCAAGATGAATGTTGCTATTAATCATTGTATTTAAAAACATTTATAAATATATAATATGATGGACTTAGGTTTATTCCATGTAATGGTTGCAAAATACAGAAAGAGCAACATGCAATTTTAATTTACTGTAACTTAATTTCAGATAACTAATAATCTATGGAAATTGCTTAGTTTCTATAATAAGGAAACCCTATGCAACCTAATGCTATTAATTTTTTAAATTATAATTTTAAGAAATTGTAATTTTCCAAAATCTTTAGAAGACCTTTCTCTTTGCATGGTCTAGTCATGATTTTTTAAATAAGCTGGTTAAATTTTAGATTGACTTTTAAACATCTCTCTCTCCTCGTACCCCCGAGCATTTATCAATATATGCACTGCTAAAGTATATCAGTCTTTATACCTATCTCAAAACCATTTGAAAATTCTATAATTTAGTGTAACTCATTGTTAGCTTCTCTGCAGAGTGACTGAATTTTTATTTCATATAGGAGATGTGCAAAATGGTAGATATCTAGGCAATATAATTCTGTCACAACTTAGAGATAATAGAAATCCATCATAAACGATATGCATTCAATCATTTTTAAAAATAAATTGGAAATATTTTGTCAGATCTAAGTGAGGATATAATCTTGATATCTTTCAAGAGAGGTAAAGGGTATAAATGACAAAAGCAGGATATTAGAGTCCAACCACGGTGCAACAAGCAAGCTCACTGTTTATGTTTCTGGAGGTGAGCATTAACGCAGTGCTAGATTCGTGAATACAGTGGGATATGAAGCTGCGGAGAGACGTGGTTCCATAAAATATGCAGAGGTGTTGTGTGTAAACAGTGCTCTTTGGCGTGACTTCTCTGTGAGGCATGCTTAGAATTCAAATAAGGTGCCTGAAAAGACACCCTCTTTACAGGGAGTAAGAGCGCTGTAAGTGCTATAGTTCTATTATTTGAAACTATCAAAAAACAGTATCAACGTAAAGGTGGTATTTTCCCTGGAATGGTTTTTTTAGGAGCACAAATCATACCATGTTGTTATTTATTACCTGCTTTGACCTTATCTAGCTTTAATAATAAAGTCAGAAAAACAAGACTTACCACGCATGCCAAGTGATAGAAAAACCATAGGTAAAAGTAGAGATCCGCACATGTGCGGCCTCGTCTGTTTCAGTTGCACATCCGTCCCTTACAATCCTCTAACAAAGTACAAATCACATCGCTCTCCTTTTACATGAGAGTACAGTAAAGAACTAGGGAAACACAGTTTTCAGAAAAAAGTCGGTATTATTTTTCTCTATTTACATTTTGTATTTTTTGGTTTGTCACATATGTTGAAGTCAGTAGTTCTGTATTGAAAAACGCCTGTAATATTATGCATTTATGGGTTTTTCCCAACATCATCTTCCTCTCAGGTCAGCATTTCATAAAGTTTTATGAGCCCGATCGTTATGGCATCCCCTAATCCCCATAGTGGTCACCAAACAGATGGCAAGCATCTGGCATCCCCTACCTCAGGGTTTAAGTCGTTAACAAGAACATCAGGTTCAGGCGAGTTAAGTATATTTCAATGAATCTGGTCTGTTCCTAAGTTACATTGGAAAGGCTTGTTATTTTAATGTTTTGGTTGCTTATACAACTGAAGATTATTGACCACAATTGGCAAGACTGGATGGAAACTGTATATGTTCGTCTCGTTAATTGCTGCAGTAAAGGTTAATAAAGTTTGTGGTAGGGCCTGGGGATTTAGCTCGGTGGTTCTGCCACCTGCCTCGCAAGTGCAAGGTCCTGAGTTCAATCCCCTGTACCAAAAAAAAAAGAGAAAAAGTTTGTGCTGGAACAGTACTATAATTATGAAGATCACCCATTGGAAAGAGAATTAGAAAAAAGGCACTAAAGATATAAAATTGAAAAGTGGAACCTTATAAATATAATTTTATATATGTAATGCATGCTGCTGATGGCATTATGTAGCTTATTGGAGTTTCAGAAGGATTTATAAACAAAACCAATCTTCTTAGGCAAGTTTATTTCTGTTTCTCAGTCTTGGCCTCTCTCCCATCCTATGTGCTAGGGTTTCTCGACAAAGAAAACACTCTCTGCTCATTGGAGACTTGATTGGCTGTACAAGCCTTTCTGGTAGATTCCTACAATCCATGCATCTCTCCAAATTATACACGTAGTATTTTATGCATATGAATAGATGCTGTATAATTCAAAGAGAGTCCCAAGCCCATAATATCAAGTTCTGAAAGCTGCTATAGAAACATTGAATTAAATAGTAAATCATTTAACGTTTTCATACTGATAGGGCCAGGAGTTAGATAAACAGGATTTCTTTCTAGTTTGGAGGCTTCTTTTCTTTACTATGAAGCAGGTTTTATTAACGTTTGAAGTCTTGGGCCCTTCTTCTTCTGCAAAATGAGGGCGAACATAGAATATCTGCCATGGTTTGGGGAGGATGGAGGAAAGTGTGGTGAGGCTCTTTGGACACAGAGCCTTCTGGAAGCAATGCTGCTGGTGGTGACTGTAATGGCAGAGAGGAAGAGGAAGAGAGAAGGAGGGAAGGGGAATCAAAGTATGTTTCTCAGCCAGAAATTGGAACATGTGCTTTGATTCTTCCAAATAATCACCACAGTGTTTCAACTCCAACATTACAGGGTCACTTAAGTCACTATAACTCTCACCCCCAGCCTAGCCTACTCTTTTCATCCCTGCAACCAGCATATTTCTCCCCAGATAGTTATGAAAGACTTCACTGGGCTCCTAAATTGTCATTTTGTGTTGACCCAGTGCCCCGCAGCCAGAATTCTCCTCCTCAGCCCTTCTCACAGTCCTAGCCTCTTGGAATCTCTCTGCCCAGCCAGCCAGGCAGGACTTCTTCAGTTCCTCAAACATACAGCACTCTCCTCTCACCGATCTTTAGACACACAAACCATTGCCCAAATAAATGCCTGCTGACTCTCCTCCAAAAGCTTTGTCCTCATCCCCAAACTTGACTTAGGTGTTCCCCGGACAGTTCCCCTCCCCATGGTGCGTCCATGCCAAAGAGATCATTTTCATGTAGAATATTTTTGCGTTCTCTGTGAGCCTGAATGGTGCTCCGTGGGTCTCCCAGGGACGACACATGAGTATCCTTTGGAAGTCGTAGTTTTGTGATCACACACCACGAGGTAGACGCTCTAGCCATCTCGGCAACCCTAGGAGATAGGTGCTGTCTTTAACCCAGCTTCACAGAGAGAAATCTGAGGCCCAGAGAGATAAGTTACCTTCGGCAATATTACACCGCTGATAAATTGAACTGAATTCCAGTTTGGGCGACCTGACTTCAGTAAGGCCTGCAGCCTTGCCGACCATGTTAGGCTGCGTGTATTATTAATCCCTATATTTCTGGTGCTTGGCTCAGTGTCAGACATGGAACAGGTGTACTTGAATACATTTGTTCTATTAAAAATTAAAGGCACTAGAAGTCTTCATCAAATATTCGAATGCCAATAAAGTGACAAGGAAGAATGATGCTCCTAAGGAAGGGAGATGTTTAAGGCACCAGGAGGAGCAAGTCGGGCCCTAAGTAAACAGGAAAATCAGCGGGACTTAGTGGATTAGGGCTACACAGGGAGGACACAAGGAGGCAGTGTAAATGAACCTGGCATGAAGAGCTCTAAGCACTCATCAATTCCATGGTAAACGTTACGTGAAAATACTTAGTTCTTTTACCTATACTGAAACCAGTTTGAAAAATAAATGTTCATGCTAAACAAGAACTGGAGAGTGAAACAAATAATGAAATATCAGAGTCTGGGACAAAGGGGACAAACTCAAACTATGCTGACACATGTCCCAGGCACAGAGGTAGGACATACACCTGCATACAAGTGATTTAGTCGATCAGAAAAATGAGGTGCACTCTGAGAGGCTGAGACAGGAAGAATGCAAGTTCAAAACCAGCCTTACTTTGAACTTACTGATTTAGCAAGACGCTATCTCCAAAAAGTAAAAAATAAAATAAACAACTAGTAAATAAAAAGATGTGGGATTGTAGCTCAGTGTGGATAAAAAAGTCACCCAGGTGAAACATTAATCTGCCTTGATTTGGTTGACAATTGTATGGAATTAAAGAAATGTTCCAGTAAGCAAAAAAGTCGGTATAGTCACAAATACGCTCAGAGCTAACTTTGAATAAATCTTTTTTACTAAACCGAAGCCACAAAAACAAAATCCTAAATATGTCACGCAGCTGGGTTCTATGTAAGTAAATTAATTATAGCTAATCCCATAGAGAAGAAAGTCTTCTTTAATAGTGACTCACTCAGGCACACTGAGAACATGAGCCCATTCAAGACAGCAAGAGCCACTGAGGGAACTGTGTGACACGGAAAGTAGCCTAGAAGAATCCGCTCTGGGCAACTGAGAAAACAATTCCTTTCAAAGAGCGGGTTTACTGCAATAACTAGCAGTAGTGCGTCATCCTTCCCCCAAGTAATATTTGTAATTAACTATTGTCTTTGTGATGCTGCTTTTTAGAGTGTCCTGTAAGTTACTGCAGAAATGGCGGCGTTTGTGTGGTGGAGAAAAACGGTCCCATGTGTCGGTAAGGAACATTACTATTTTTGGTAAACAAATACTGTGCTAGGTTACTTATCTTCTTGAAGCTGATATAATAGGAAATCAATCAAGGTAAAAGTAGTGAATAATGTACTATCTCCCTTTATCTGAGTATATAAGAGAAAGGAAGTGAGTGTATTTGTAAGCAATATCAATTATTTAATATAATTTTTATATGGTTTATAGCACTTTTCAAATATGAGATGCATCATTTTAATAATCCTCCTTATTCCTTGCTTTCAATGTTCAGGTTGGTAAAAGACTTTTCAATATGTGTATCCTCCTTCAGATGTCTTTGCTGTCTGCATTTCCTGTCTTGCTTTTATTTCAAATTTTATTTTTCTCTTCTCCAACAAAAAAGTACAAAATTAATGCATAGACAAGAGCATTTTCTGGCTTACAGAGTGGATGTTTATGTGCAAAGTTTAGGTGTAGATGAGGAATACTTCTTCATACCCAAAGAAGGAATAAACAAAATAGGCTTTGTCATTTCTTTGGGGAGTTACTTCTATTGCATATCAAAGATTGCTTGATTTTTTTTTTCTCTCACCCTTTAGGGAACTGTGCAAAAATATTTTTATAGACTCCAAAGGAAGTGATGCATGTTCTATTATAACTGTATTTATGACAATTTAATCTGGCAGACCATTGGATATATTACTATGCTTATTAGAAAACTGATGGAAAATTGATACTCAAATCATTCCAAAACACAAGAATTGGGAAAGCATTGATTAATAGCTATCAAAATCTTTATATCCTTCTGAGTCAATATTCATATTTTGACAAAAGTAGTTTATTCCTAAAAAAAATTATTGCCTCTGCCAATTAAAATAAGAACTTTATGGTGAGACATAAAGACATATCTAGACATTGCCTTCACATTGTTGAATTTAAATTAGTAATGAATTTCTCAATGTGTTTTGTCTCCTGAATTCATTCATGGATTTCACGTCTAACCAAATTATAAATTTCTCTTTGTCAGCTTGCATGAAAATTTATCATAAACTATTACTTGATTGGAAAACAAGATGCATAATATTAATGGCTAAAATCAGAAAGAAATTAAGGGTGGTGCTGTTACTGTTCCTTGAATATCTTCTACGTGGGTGATGTTATTTAACGTCAACTGTTTACAGTAAGGAAGTTTGCAGTTTCGTCCTCTCTCACCCTCTTCCGTAGGCTAGAAAGCTCCCAGACTTTAGACGGTTTCAGCTGAGCAAGCTTTGCATTCTTGGCAGCAACTTTCAGGATTTAAATAAACTTAGCAGTCCAGATGGTGAAGCACTAAATTTACTTCTCTCACATGAGAAAACTGAGGTTGGAGAGAAGAGATAACAAAGGGTCAAGAAGATGGGACCTAACAATGGAGACCGATGGAGCAAAATGGAGAAGGGACTTACTACCAAGGAAGTCCATAAAATGTTCTACTGCAGTACGTTTGCTATCAAGTTATACTTTTCAAAGAACAAAAAAGCTATATTAACCCTTCTTATAAACAAATACTTGCAGTTAGTGCTATCTATAATGAAGGGATTTATGACTCTGGAAAACTTTTTCCATATTAGTAAAGGCAGGCCTCTTTATTGAAATTCCAATTCTTATTGTCCACTGAAAAAGGGATGGATATATGTTATAATAGATTTTGTGAGACCAAATAGCTGTGTATCAAACAAAAAGCAAAGCTTCCTCACTCCCCGGTCCCACGCTGTACTAGTATAGTTCATATCCATTGAGGTGTTTCTTTCCCTTCACCAACACATGCACATTTACAAGCACATGGGTCACAGAAATATGACTTACATTTTATGTATCACTTTGATTTTTCTTTATGAAATACCATGTCAGTACAAGTAGTTCCAGATCAGCCCTCACTGCCCGGGTACTACTGAGTTCCTGAACTTCCTTGTATTTTAGTTTCTTTTCCAGTAAAATGAAGAAAATAATAGCATCTGCATCATGTAGATGTGAGGTTCTTATGTAAAGCATGTGAACAGTGCCTGATCCATTAAAAATATTATAGGAATGATAGTCATAACATTCTTGTTCATACTATGTAGAATACAATATTCAGTGTATGGATTTGTCATAATTTAATTAACTTTTAATGTCCTGTAAATGAGTAGTTAATTCTTAAATGTCAGCTTCCACAAACACTCTTAGAACATTCATTGTTGTATTTATCATCGCTCACTTTCTTATGTCTTTAAGAAATACAAATAACAATGTAAATAATTTCCAGTTACAGCTAGTGTCAAGTTACTGGCTAATTAAACTTAATGTCCAGTTCATTTTTTATTGACAGGTATTCACTTTGGATTTAAAATTAAATGAAGACTTAGCTTTAAAATTCAGAATTTTTGAATAACTCTAGTACCCTAAGGAAAAGTGGCAGAATTATGTCACTGTCTGCTTATAACTGAGAATTTATGATTCTTGGTCCCTGGGGGTAGCCAAAGAACCAAGGAGAGCAAATCATAGGCCACCTCCCACACAGACCATCTGAGAAAACAGGAACCTCAAGATTCCCCGAGGGTATCCATCACCAAAGCATCTGGATTTCCCCTTAGAAATGCCATCCAGGTGTTACCCTGTAAGACCTCAAAGCAGATTGTATAAGATCATTGGGTTCCTAGGAGTTTGTAATTATTCACACAGTAGAAACCACCAGGTAAATGGTGGTTTTCCCTCAGTTGAGAAACATCAGTAGCTGGATATGTTTGAAGGGCTAAACATGCAAACTCTGACCCAGGAAAGAAAAAAATGTCCCTTACCTAAGAAGCCAAATCCATGTTGTTTTGACATCGATGCTTCTGCTAGAAAAATGGACCAAGTTAAGTTACCTGAATTCCAAATTAATGTGGAAGACAACAAAGAACTTATAAGAAAGAAAAGAATCTTATGTCATCATGAGTGAAAGAATTAAGAAGTAGCATCAGATAAAAGTACATAGCAAAAATAAGTAGAAAGAATGTATTCAAATGTAATAGACAGGCCAGGGATTTAGCTCAGTGGTTTTGCCGCCTTCCTTGCAAGCGCGAGGGCCCGAGTTTGATCCCCGGTGCCAAAAAACAAACAAACAAAAAACCCAAATACAATAGCCATCAAAATAAATATAAAAAAGATAGTCAGTGAAAACACACAACACAAATTGGGAATGCTAATGTCATATATATATAAATTTATTAAATTCATTATAGATGTATATAACTAAGCAATATAATTATAAAAATAATTTTAAAAATAAGAATAGACAGATTTGGCAAATAAAAATAAATGTGGTCTTATAGATATCAGAAACCCCCCACAAAATTGTAGTAGAAGTATGTCTTAAAAGATCTATATCATAAAGTTAAAATATACACTTTAAATTGTTATAACAGGCAAAATTCTTTATGTATCAAACAACATAGAAAAAAATGTGGAAGGCAAAAATTCTTAAAGATTTTGAGAGTATTTAATTTTTGAAAATCACAAAAATATACATTTACACACCCATATGTGTATATGCACGCTCTCAAACACACATACATATATTCACTCTGGAATCAAAAAACCAATAAAAATGCTAATTCCTCACTTTTCACCTACAAAATCTGGCAGTGTTTAAGAGTGGATCCCTCTTTCTCCTTGAAAATAAGGGCCATGCTTTCATAACCTGTATATAATTACCAGCACCTCATACAGACCTGAGGATGGAAGAACTGTTTGAATAGTGCACTGACTGAAGAACGAATAAAAAAATAATGAATGAATGAGTGCAAATAGAAAATTCTGAAATATCAAGGAAAAGCATCCTTAATTTCATGTAAGATCTGCTATTGAAATATGAGTCCATGACCTCACCATAAACCAATGTATGAATCACAAATGAACTATTAGGGAATTACTGTGTACGCAACAAGAAGTATGTTAAATAAAAGTACGATGTGTTCATTACACCGAAAAGAAATCACACCAAAAATGTCTTTTATTAAAGAATTGCATTTGGCTACGAACAGAAGAGGGAGCTCTTCAACTAGGAGTCTGGAAAACTACTGTGAATCCTTAACCCTAGCCACAAAATGAAAAGACAAATAGAATTTCCATGTACACAAAGCCGTTGTTCAAAATAATTCAGCATATGAATAGTTTTCTTTTTAGTATATGAATAGTTTCTCACCTTTCCCTCCACAAAAGATGCAAAAAAGAAAATAATACAAGAATATTAGCTTTAATTCCAAATTAAATATTGTTTAATTAGATGTTTATGAAGAAAACATTTCAGAACATTTACAAGACACACATACACACTACCTTAACTGGAAAAATTCAAAATCTCACTGCAAAAATGGACAACAAAATATTAAGAATTAATAGAAATCAGTCACTCTAATTAATTGAATTCAAGAAAATAAAATAAAAAAGAAAGATTAAATTGTAATTTCCCAAGGAAACATATCTTGAAATGTAAAAATATGAAGAAATTTTGAACAAAGGCAGGAAAGGAGCCAATGGAACAAAAATGAGATAAAGTAAAATTAATCAAGGAGGAGGTAGTTGAAGTAGAAGATAAAGACGATGCTTACTATTGGAGTTTTTACAGAGGAAACTAAAGCAGTGGAACAGTAGTCATTCTTAAAACTATGGTCCTAGAAAACGTTTTCAGAAATGCTAAGAGACCTAAATTTATATGTTGAAAAAAACCATCGAGTTACTTGGAAATTCAGAACTAAATCAGCAATTACAATACACAGCCTCGTAAAAATATCAGATTCCAAGATTTTAAAAACACTCCTCTTACCCTTGGGAAAAAAGACCAAAAAATATCTGAGGAAAACAGATTAGGTTGGCATTAGACTTTTAAATCAAAGAAGTAGAAAAACCTACTGTAATTTTCTCTGTTGTTGTGAAAATGTTTTTGACAAAATAAACTGTCAGTCCCTAATATTTCTAAAAAGACATTAATTAAAGTTTCTTCCTTACAGTGATGAAATATGTATTTCT